CGACGCCGGATAATACCGGTGCACGAACTTGTCAGCCAGATCGTCCCAAGAGGTGATGGACAATGGGGGGATGGGTCTCCAACCACCTCTTAGCATTCCCCGCCAGAGAATGGGGGAAGAGGTGAAGGCGGATTGCGTCATCCGGGACACCATTCAGCTTGAACCCGTTCGTCAGCTGCAGAAAACGGGAAAGATGTACCCGGGCTTCCTCATCCTTCAAGCCATGGAACTGGATAGAGGATGTGATAAGTTGAATCCAGCATGGCTTGATCTCGAAGTTGTTTGCAGGAATGGGAGGATAGAGGATGACCGGGCGGATGTCAGCAATCCGCGGAGTGTAGTAATACTCCAAGGTGGGACCCGGTGGTGGTGGATGATGATGGGCCCCAGCGCCCTGGGGATTCGGGTCGTTCCCCAGGATCTGGTTCTGAGGAGGTGGGTTCTGATCGCCTTCCATCTTGTACTCGTCCTCGGAGTCGCTGCATAATTGGCCGTCTCTGCGCTCCACCGTAGCCAGTCTAGCTCGCTGTTGTCTCCGAAGTTGTTTGCAAGTGCGCTCAATCTCAGGATTCAACGGCAGTAAACCTCCCGACTGGCTACGGGTCATGCACTATCTGCACACAATCAAGCAATGCAAACCCGTGAAGGCACAAGTGGGAAAGAACAAATAATCAATGCGAAAATGAAAGTGCTAAAGTAACAGAAATCACTTTTCTTCAACAACCTAGCCGTCCCCGGCAACGGCGCCAAAAACTTGACTCACTCCTACTGTCACTTTAGAAAATGGCCAAGTGTAACCACTTCCTAAAGCGTAGTATAGCGGGTTTGGGTTTTATTGTCAACCCGGGTCCTAGATGTGATGACTACTCAGTGAATTCGTATTATCTAGCAATGAAACTTTAGTGAAGTTCTAAACTAACAAGCAAACAAAACAACTAAACGGTTGTATTCAGGTTAAGAGAGGTCACCCGGATATGGTTCCCCCTAGACTGTAGTTAAGCCGGATTGTAATTACCAAGTTCAGTTTCTATGATAGTTATACTGCGGAAGGTTCTCAAACAGCCTGAAGTCTCGACTAAAGGTCTTCAGAACCTCTCAATCTGAATCTCTAGCGGGCGACTAACCTCCACCGGAGTAAACAGATTGAGGCCCTAAGAACAAAACCTCCACTACCGAATAGAACTCGGTACAGAATAGTGAATTGGCTCCTCGACTAAAGTCACCAATTCACTACCTTCGATTAAGGATACTCTATCAACCTAGGCAGATATTATCATTCTAGGTTAAAGCAGAAACAACAGGAATTTGATCAGGATTCATGCCATTCAATCATTCAAACCTCAATCGAATATAACAAAATCATAGAATCAATACTTGGGTTCATACAATCAAACCTAACATACAGAACTAGGGTTTCCCATACCCAGATGAATGGGAGAACTACTCCATGGAGAAAGAAGCAAAAGCAGATTCAGACGCGGAAATCATATTGTGAAGATGGATTTCTGCTCCTGGACGTTTAATCGGCACTCCTCCAAGTTCAAGCCAAGCTCCAATGGTGTTGAAGATCAAGCTAGGGCACTTGGAGACTCTTGTTCGCCGCTTTCTCTCTCTAGGAATCGCTCTGTCTCTCTAAAACTCGAATCCCCCTCTGTTTTGGCTGAAATCTGCTTAAAACCAGAATTTCCCGACTCGCACGGGCAGGCCGCATGGCCGTGCAGATCACCACTTTGGCCGTGTGGCTCGCAGCGTATCATTAAGTCGATCCTCAGCCATCTCGCACGGCCAGGGTTGCACTTTGCACGGCCGTGCGGATTTCACTTGTGCCCGTGCTTGGCCTCGCAGAATTCCGCACGGCCAAACTGGTCACTTGCACGGCCGTGCGGGTTTTCTGCTCTGCCCGTGTGGCTTGCTCAGCCTCTGTTTAATGCTTCGTTTCTCCCTCGTCCGGACTCCGAATCAGTCGCCGTTTGATCCCAGACGCTCGTAGTCTCGTCCTCTTTCGTTTCATAACAAGATTGCATGATTCTTTGTCCATAAAGTGAGGTAGAAATCCATTCTTCTTCATGTCATGCCCGAGTTTCTTCTCTCGAATCGTCAATTGATCTCTCATTGACTTGAAACTTGCGCCTATGCTTCACTTTATGTGCTAGGACCTGAAATGGGACAAAGGAACACAACCTAGCATAAAATAGGCCAAAGACGCAATAATTCAAGCTCAAACAATCAAGAAACAAAGGGGAAAACATGTGCAAATACCGAGTCATCAGTGAGTTACATGGTGACATGACTACTGACATGTCAGAAGTCTAGACAATGCCTCTACCTAGGACAAGTACATTTAGCCTTTTATTATACCTAGGACTAGGACTAGGACTGTGATGTGACCACTCGATGGGTGAGACGCGGCGTCGTTTTCCCACACTCGCTAACTTGGTCAATGCTGGACTCGAACGTCGTCGTTCGGTGCTCGGGCTGTCTTTGGTCGCGTCGGTGCTGGTGCGCGTGACGCTCTTGGTGGTGGAGTTGTCGCGCGACGCTCTTGGTGGTGGAGTTGTCGCGCTTCGCGGGTGCTAGCACGCCCGATCTTCGCGTTGATGGCACTGCCGCGCTTCACTGGTGCTAGCGCGCCCGATCCTGGCGTTGATGGCACTGCCGCGCTTTACTGGCGCTAGCGCGCCCGACTCTCCTGGTTGCGGGACCGGAGTGCTTCCTTGGCGCAGCGTGATCTGAGTCACATGCCCAACAGGTTCAATGAACCAGAAGTGTAGCTGAATGTACTCAGAAGTGTAGTTATGAAAAACAACAACGAAATCACAAAATTCTGGTATCTTATACCAATTTCAAGTTTGTTAGATCATAATTGTTTTCAATGAAGTTTATGATTGAGAGATCGTGCCAATAAATTTGGAGTGTATGATATGATGATGTCCTCTCATGAGTCTCCTCTTTCGAGATTTTTCTATATATAATTATTCAATAAAAATTATTCAGAGAGAAAATGATGACGTTTATACATTTTATTTCTGTATAATTTGTGATCTTTATTAGAATCGAATTTTTCTTACAATTTCAAAGGTTTTTTTTTTTTTTTTTTGCTATTAAGTAGGTAGCTCTATGAAAGTTTGGAAGAGTATAAAGACACAAAACAAACAAAAAGTTCGTAAATAGAAAAAATATCTCCCCTTAAGATAGCCCTACCCTAACTGTAAAGGGTTTTGATAAGCTAGATGTGGAGGGTCAGTTTGCCAAAAGGATTGTCAACTAAGTGTTGGTGGCTGAAGTTTCTCTGTTTCTTCTGTTCTTGTGGCTGTCTTTCAATTTACTTGATAGGAATACAAAATCAATAAAAAGTGAGTCTCGGAAAATGATTGATACTATCTTTGATGTGTAAACTCGTCATAAATTAATAAACTAGGTTAAAATTTTTTCGTGTTAATCTCTTTATCTTCCCTGCAATTCTTGGTCGAACAACAATGCTAGCATCCAAAGAAGAATATCCAAGCAAATTTTTTTACCCAATACAACCATATAAGGGTATCTTTCATTCCTCATCACCTCAATATCAGGGGCGGACCCAAGTTAATGAAAAGTTGTGTCCAAATTTGAGGCAAAAAAATGATATAAAATTTTGTTTTAGTGGTACAAGTATTTGGGTTGAACACTGTCCTGACAACTCGATAATTTTGATCTATCGTTGAAAAATGGCATGAGGAAAAAAAAATCCAAATAGATATAGAAAAATCGCCGGAGGAAATCTACAACAGGATTAAATTCGGGATTTTTTCAGAAATAGCACCTTTTAAAAAAATTACAAAAATAGCACTCAGCCGAAAATATTTACAAAAATATCACCCTTTTTTATGGACCGCACCTTAGAGGTGCGGTCCATAATCCTGGGCCAAAACCGCATCTTGGCCAAGCGGTTTCAGGTCTGACCTACAAAAACCGCTTGGCCGAGGTGCGGTTATGGGCTGACCTAGTAAAACCGCACTTTGGAGATGCGGTTTTTTTTCTCCAAAACAAAACCGCAAAACCGCACCCCCCAAGGGCCTGATGTGGGGGAGTCAGCTAATGCGACATAGTTTGCGGTTTTCATTTGTTGGTACTTGTTATGTATGTTTTCAATTATTGTCAGAGTTAGAGCTATGATGCACTGAACTTTCGTGTTTTCAAATAATCCTCATGAGAACACTCAAGCCTTAAGTTATGTGGCTGCAAAGTAAAGAAAGCCAAGAACTTATAACTAAAATAAATACTAAAACAACACTCAATTAAAGAAACTAAGATAGAAGGGTTTCAAGTACATAAAAATAAAACATAACTAAAACAACACTCAATTAAAGAAACTAAGATAGAAGGGTTTCAAGTACATAAAAATGAAACATAACTAAAGACAACACTTAAAATGATAAAACTAAAGATCCATCTCAAGGAAGTCCCTGGGACTCATGGGGCTGCAAAGTTTTTTGGCTCCTTGTACGACGGCCGACGGGAGTGGCCATCGGTGGTTGCGGTGGCAAATATCGCTGGGTCGTGCTAGGGCGATCATCGGTGCTGTGTCGGCGTTGTTCCGTGGTATACGGCGCTTCCGGAGTCGAGCGGGGGACATCGACGCTCATTCGGTGAGGGGTAGGAGGCCACTGCTGATTTGGGCGAGGAATGGGATTGAAGTCATGATGCGCAGTCGTGGAGGAACCATCATGCCAAGTACCCGAGGATGTGGAGGGTTCGTTGAAGAAGTTTGGGCAGGGATCATATGTATGGCGAGGAACATAGTATGATGGGCGGGGATCATTGTATGAGATCGGGTTGGGATCATATGGAGATTGATGATAGCTCGAAGGGGATTGATGGTAGCTCGGGCGGGGATCATTGTATGAGCTCGGGAATCGCTCATGATGGTAGGTCAGGCGGGGATCTTGGGAGTGGCTCGAACAGGGATCTTGATGTGAGCTCGGACCGCCACCGTGTGACACAACCAAGGGGGTCGGCACTCTCCACGCCGGTAACGGCTTTATCTCGGGCTCATGAGGTCTTTCCCGAACCTTCTTGCTTTTCTTTCTCTCGTATGGTGGTGGGGGATGGGGGACATCAACTTGTACTGGAGGTGGCACCGGTGCGGGCATGGGTGGGTATCTACGATGATCACGACCTTGTGCTCTGATACATCCAAGCAGACTGTTTGTCATCCTCCTGATGAAGCTCACATCTTCATGTCTCATTCCTTGTTTCCCATGGGTCAACGCTTTGATCCGCTCGATCCCATCAGCCTAAATCACAAAAAAGGTTAGCAAGATAAGACCAAAAAAGTGACATAATGAAACAAGCAATAAATTTAATCTTATTAGAAGGAATATACTTACCAATGCACCATCGGCCGCACCCTCCGGAGTCACGTACCGAACCGATGTTTGCCGATATCTATCCATGTATGGGTCATGATACCCCATTCGACCCACACTTGTTGGAGTGACAATATCTTGAAGTTGTCGGTTCTCCCATACCGCGATCAATTCCGCCAACTTCGTGGGCCAATCGTGAGTACCTTGCCGACCATCTCGACCATGAAACGCCCTTTGACTCTCGGGGACTTCCAACGGAATGCACTGCTCCCGACCAAACTGACGAAGGCATCGATCCGGGAGGTGCCACTCCATGGTACCTAAACAAATGAGAGGGACCCTCGTGCACCATTGCCCGATATTCTCAGGGAATTGCTGTAAATGCCAATGAACGATGTTCGCCGGGTATGGATCGAATTTGATCTACAAAAATATATTAGTAACTTAAGTTAAATCTTATTGGAAAAATACATGTACTCCATGAAAAAAGTTATAGCACTTAGAAGTTTCTAGTTACCTCTCCTTTCCAAAGTCTCTCTAGCCTTCTTCGATACTCTACCAACTTATGATGGGCAAAATTGTCGCATGTTGAGGCTCCAACCCACCTTATTAATAAGATGATAATTAAAATAAGCTAAAAATAAAGGAAAATTGTGTTATAAAATCATGATGGGGTATGAGAAATTTACCTACAACCATAAGCTTCGAGTCTTAGGGGATGATCGGGAACCCAATTCTTGTCGGGACATTGGAGCGGTGCAATCCATGGCAGGTGCTCCCAAGCCCAAAACTGGACGATGAACATTGCGCCACCGACCTCCCTCACAGCTTTGAGAGATGCGTTGCACAAGTGGTGGTAGATATTAGCTAGACAAGCGAATGCCTAGCTCAATTCCCCCATCGCATCCCAACTACCAAGGAGGATCCTAAGTCATCCACAACTAATTAAATTGCTCGATTTTTTTGGAGAAGAACACTCCTCCTATCATGCCCATGAGATAGACACGAGCATATCTTTCCTTCTCCAGCTCCGGACTTTCCTCGGTTAGGGGCACCCCATCTTTTTCAGGATCGTGATGGTCCCTAAAATACTTCGTCAACCAAGTGATTGATACTTGGCCTTTCCTCAATCAACGCTTCACTTGGTTGATACTTTCACCCCCAAAACCTAAAACACTGTGGATGAAATACTGCCAACCGGTCATATCGTCACGATCCTCGCGGGGGGGGGGGGGGGGGGGGGATCACTCACACACACCGCTTTGCCGTCGATAGGCATATGAGTTAGGATGGCGACGTCCTTGAGTGTGATGGTGCACTCTCCTTCGCGAAAGTTGAAACAATGTGTCTCCTTTCTCCATCTCTCAACCAATGCGGTAATGAGTTGGCGATCGACTTTTATGCCTAGAAAATGTCTAATCGACTCCAACCGTGCCCTTTTGAGATAGGGCAAGATAACTGGGTTCCATGGGAGCACATTGGTCGTACCCCTGTAGCGGAGTATTTGTTGTGCCTCCTAGCAAAATTTCAACGTTATTTATGATATATTAGTAACAGTTTAGTCTTATAACTAAATAAATTGAAATTCCTTATTTAATTTCAACCATTATTAAAATTATTTATGATATATAAGTAATAGTTTAGTCTTATAACTAAATAAATCAAAATTAATGATTTAATTTCAACCATTATTAAAATTATTTATGATATATAAGTAATAGTTTAGTCTTATAACTAAATTAATTAAAATTAATGATTTAATTTAGAATATAATTCTATTATAATTATATTATTAACAATCAAAATTTAAGTAATTTGCCGTTTTTCCAATATATATACATATAGTCATAAAACAAGCATACTAAATTAATTGGCATAAATAACATTCTAAATGAATAATAATTTAAGGTGATATATACATATCACTCACACACACCGCTTTGCCGTCGATAGGCAGATGAGTTAGGATGACGACGTCCTTGAGTGTGATGGTGCACTCTCCTTCGCGAAAGTTGAAACAATGTGTCTCCTTTCTCCATCTCTCAACCATTGCGGTAATGAGTTGGCGATCGACTTTTATGCCTAGAAAATGCCTAATCGACTCCAACCGTACCCTTTTGAGATAGGGCAAGATAACTGGGTTCCATAGGAGCACATTGGTCGTACCCCTGTAGCGGAGTATTTGTTGTGCCTCCTAGCAAAATTTCAACGTTATTTATGATATGTAACAGTTTAGTCTTATAAGTAAATAAATTGAAAGTACTGATTTAATTTCAACAATTATTAAAATTATTTATGATATATAAGTAATAGTTTAGTCTTATAACTAAATAAATCAAAATTAATGATTTAATTTCAACCATTATTAAAATTATTTATGATATATAAGTAATAGTTTAGTCTTATAACTAAATTAATTAAAATTAATGATTTAATTTAGAATATAATTATATTATTAACAATCAAAATTTAAGTAATTTGCGGGTTTTCCAAGATATATACATATAGTCATAAAACAAACATACTAAATTAATTGGCATAAATAACATTCTAAATGAATAATAATTTAAGGAGATACATACATATTTAAACATTTGAAATTAATAAATTCATTTAAGTACACATAAACATAAAACGTATTGGTTGTTTGGTAAGTAATTTAATCGTATTAATTGTTTTAAATAATTTAATCGAATACAAAGCAACACTCGTTAGACTCTTAGAAGAGGTATACATCTTCTTAGAAACGCAGCCTTTTTTACAGAAAAAGGGGGGATCCGAAGATCTCTTAATACCCGATTTTCCCAGGAAATGGGAGGATCATGATAATCGCTTAAAACCCCATTTCCTTAGATGTGCATCTCTTTATAAAGAGTCGAATTAAGTGTCGCTATGTATTCGATTAAATGGAGGCTACAGATCACGGAATCAGGCCGAGGCTATTCTCCACCGATAGAAGTCTATCGATCCTATTCTCCACGGATGATAACTCCGTTAAGCATCAATTTGGGCCAATTTATTTTCGGATGGCATTTTCGTAATTTCTTGGGCGACGAAAGGCCATTTTCTTTGGATATTGAAGGCTACAGATCACGGATTCGCCCTGAGGCTATTCTCCAACGATGATTGAGTCCATTAAGCACCGATTTGGGCGGATTTATTCCGGGTCCAATTTTGGCAGATTCAATGGGTAACATCACAGATTTCGGGCGATTTATCCGAATGCCATTTCTTTTTCGATTCTGGAGGCTACAGATCACGGAATCAGGAAGAGGCTATTCTCCACCGATAATGAAGTCTATTGATCCTATTCTCCACGGATGATAAGACCGTTAAGCATCGATTTGGGCCAATTTATTTTCGGATGGCATTTTTCGTAATTTCTTGGGCCACGAAGGCCATTTTCTTTGGATATTGAAGGCTACAGATCACGGATTCGGCTTGAGGCTATTCTCCAACGATGATTGAGTCTATTAAGCACCGATTTGGGCGGATTTACTCCGGGTCAATTTTTTGGCTGATTCCAAAGGGGTACCATCACAGATTTCGGGCGATTTATCCGGAATGCCATTTTCTTTCGATTCTGGAGGCTACAGACACGAAATCATGCCGAGGCTATTCTCCACCGATAATGAAGTCTTTGATCCTATTCTCCACGGATGATAAGTCCGTTAAGCATCGATTTGGGCCAATTTATTTTCGGATGGTATTTTCGTAATTTCTTGGGCGACGAAAGGCCATTTTCTTTGGATATTGAAGGCTACAGATCACGGATTCGGCCTGGGGCTATTCTCCAACGATGATTGAGTCCATTAAGCACCGATTTGGGTGGATTTATTCCGGGTCAATTTTTTGGCTGGTTCCAAAGGGGTACCATCACAGATTTCGGGCGATTTATCCGAAATGCCATTTTCTTTCGATTCTGGAGGCTACAGATCACGGAATCAGGCGAGGCTATTCTCCACCGATAATGAAGTCTATTGATCCTATTCTCCACGGATGATAAGTCCGTTAGGCATCGATTTGGGCCAATTTATTTTCGGATGGCATTTTCGTAATTTCTTGGGCGACGAAGGCCATTTTCTTTGGATATTGAAGGGTACAGATCACGGATTCAGCCTGAGGCTAGTCTCCAACGATGATTGAGTCCATTAAGCACCGATTGGGCGGATTTATTCCGGGTCATTTTGGCAGATTCCAAACGGGTACCATCACAGATTTCGGGCGTTTATCCGAAATGCCATTTTCTTTCGATTCAGGAGGCTACAGATCATGGAATCAGGCCGAGGCTATTCTCCACCGATAATGAAGTCTATTGATCCTGTTCTCCACGGATGATAAGTCCGTTAAGCATTGAGTTGGGCCATTTTACTTTTGATGGCATTTCATAATTTCTTGGGGCGATGAAAGGCCATTTTCTTTGGATATTGAAGGCTACAGATCATGGAATCGGCCTGAGGCTATTCTCCAACGATGATTGAATCCATTAAGCACCGATTTGGGCGGATTTATTCCAGGTCAATTTTTGGCAAATTCCAAAGGGGTACCATTACAGATTTCGGGCGATTTATCCGAAATGCATTTTTCTTTCTATTCCGGAGGCTACAGATCACTGAATCAGGCCGAGGCTATTCTACAAAGATAATGAAGTCTATTGATCCTATTCTCCACGGATGATAAGTCCGTTAAGCATCGATTTGGGCCAATTTATTTTCGGATGGCATTTTCGTAATTTCTTGGGCGACGAAAGGCCATTTTCTTTGGATATTGAAGGCTACAGATCACGGATTCGGCCTGAGGCTATTCTCCAACGATGATTGAGTCCATTAAGCACCGATTTGGGCGGATTTATTCCGGGTCAATTTTTGGCAGATTCCAAAGGGGTACCATCACAGATGTCGGGCGATTTATCCGAAATGCCTTTTTCTTTCGATTCTGGAGGCTACAGATCACGGAATCAGGCCGAGGCTATTCTCCACCGATAATGAAGTCTATCGATCCTATTCTCCACGGATGATAAGTCCGTTAAGCATCAATTTGGGCCAATTTATTTTCGGATGGCATTTTCGTAATTTCTTGGGCGACGAAAGGCCATTTTCTTTGGATATTGAAGGCTACAGATCACGGATTCGCCCTGAGGCTATTCTCCAACGATGATTGAGTCCATTAAGCACCGATTTGGGCGGATTTATTCCGGGTCAATTTTTGGCAGATTCCAATGGGGTAACATCACAGATTTCGGGCGATTTATCCGAAATGCCATTTTCTTTCGATTCTGGAGGCTACAGATCACGGAATCAGGAAGAGGCTATTCTCCACCGATAATGAAGTCTATTGATCCTATTCTCCACGGATGATA